CACAGTATCTTAGCTGTTCCTAGCTCTGATCTCTTCTGGACAGAGAGCTCTGATGTTGTTCCTGGGATCTGTTGGAGCCACTGTCCCAGCTTAGGAGTCACAGCCCCACATGCTCCTACCACCACTGGGACCACTTTGGCCTTTACTTTCCACATCCTCTCTGGTTCCTTCTTCAGGCCTTAGTACTTCTCCAGTTTCTCATACTTCTTTTTCCTGATGTTGATGTCACTTGGCATTGCTACATCTATCACCACCATTGTCTTCCGGTCCTTGTCTACCACCACAATATCTGGTTGATTGGCCAGTAACTGCCTGTTCGTCTGGATCTGGAAGTCCCATAGGATCATAGCCCTGTTATTCTCCATGACCTTCTGTGGAATCTCCCATCTGGAATTGGGAGGGTCTAGCCCATACACTGTGCAGATGTTCCTGTACACAATGCCAGCTACTTGGTTTTACTGTTCGGTGTATGCTATTCCTTCCTGCATCTTATACCTGCTGCTAGGTGTTGGACTGTCTCTGAGGCCTCTCTGCACAGTCTGCTCCTTGGGTCCTGTCTAGTGTGGTAGACCCTGCTTCTATGGATCTGCTGCTTGGTGCATTGGTTTGTGTTGCTAGGATCAGTGCCTTAGTGCTGTCTTTTAATCCAGCCCTTTCCAGCCAAAATAAATAAATAAATAAAATGTATAATAATTTGCCATTTTGATTTCAAACAGGTCAAATGTTGGATCTGCTACTCAAATATCATGATTTCTGATATGGTGAATTTGGTTACTACAATCATCTATATTTCAGCTTTGCATACTATAGTTTACTATAGACCTGAACAGCTGAACAATTCTTAAAGGTAAGTTTCCCATTACCAGCCAGTAAAGCCAAAGTTTCCTATAGCATGACTAATGTGTAACTATTATACTACACTGATCAGCATATGTTTTTTTTGAGGTGCTAATTTTATTTATCATTTAACTATAAGACAGTTTAGAATTATTTTATGCAGGACTATTTTGTTATTCTATTTCTCCCCATTTCTATATTATTATTTTATTATAAATAATTAGCTTTTTTATTTATTATTAGTCACCAATAATAAGGAAGTGGAATATAAATGTTTAAAATAAAAAAAAAGTTTAAAATAAAAAAAAGTTAGTTAGATTCTCAGAAGCTAATAATCAATCAGTTTTCTCATAAACTGAAACTATAATTTCCATATTGCTTATAAAGCCATGATTGAAGTTGATATAGCATGTATTTTTTTCTCACCTTAGTTCTAGACAAACTCTTTAGACAGTCCTATTCCAGATCTACCTTTTATTTATTTAACAAACTATTCCTGTGCTGCTACTTTATGCAAAAGAGTAACATCTAATCCAAAGATGTGATTTTACAGTAATCCAAACATTTTATTTTAGGCTACTTTGAACATACAATAGGCTAGCAGATCAGGGGACTAAGTTTGCTTTTTCAGCATTTCAATCACTGCCAATTTACTCTGATTCTATTCTGCATTCCCCAGCCGAAAAACTTGAGGGAAGTTGTTACAATGAAGGATCTGGGGGTGGGAATGAACAGATCCTGATCTGTTTTTAAGGCCTGGGTTCTTTCTGTTTTCTCAGTGTTCTTCTTTTTACTATTTCTAGGCTATTCTACTGAGCTACTTCACTGATAGAAAGTGACCTTATAACACCTTATAAGAAAAGGATAGGAAAGAGAAAAAAAGAAAATAAAATTCTCTAAATTAAAAGTGTTTGTATGGCATTTTCCAAATATCAAGTTAATTGTCCACTATTGAGCATATCCCTTAAGCTACAGAGAAAGTTCATTTTCCTGATTGTAAAGTAATTTAGATTAATGTAATGGTATAAATATATATAATAGCCACCGTAGTGCAGCGGTTAAGGTGCTGGACTAGGAACAAGGAGGCCCAAGTTCTAGTCCTGCCTTAGACATGGAAGCTGGCTGAGTGACTTTGGGCCAGTAATTCTTTCTCAACCCTAGACTAAGAAATTGAAAAACATCTACCAACTAGCACTGGACCAACATGGTAGAATTCAGTCTACAACCTTCAATAGAGGAGCCTCCATCTAGGAGTGGACTGACTCCTCCTCCTCCTCCTCATCATCATCCCTATTAAATATAACATCAAAGTAGCAAACTGGGAAAAATCTCTATTTTTGCCAGTCAAACCAATGCAGCCAAGAAGAATAACATATGAGCTTCTACCAAAAATCAATATTTATGGCATTATATACAAAAAGAACAAAATATAAACCACATGAAGGCATCTTGGCTTTTAGCAAGATTTTTGTTTTGGTGTTTGAAGGCACAAAATCACATGGAAAAGATTGTTAAGTATGATTGTGGAAATGCCTTCAAAAGAGTCATGTAGTCCCCTCAAATTATTATTATTATTTATAATTTACCTTCAATTACGATAAAACATGCTCAATTATGATTTACTCAAAATAAGGAGGAATTTCCTGACTATGAGAGCTATTAAGCAGTGGAATAGCCTGCTCCCTGAAATTGTGGGTGCTGTGTCACTGGAGGGTTTCAACCAAAGGTTGGACAGCCATTCATCGGGGAAAGAATGAGAATTCCTGCTCTGGATAATGTGTTGGACTAGAAGACCCCCAAGGTTCCTTCCAACCTTATGATTCTATGAATATACTACATAATTTTCATACCTTCATTATGAAAATTCAAAATAATATTTTTTTTTATTTGTATGCATGTTGCTGATAGGTTTTGTCAGCAAAACTATATGCAAGATCACAGATTAACAAAAATCTCTGGGTCAGCAAAACAGAAATACTCATTTACTTAATACTGGTTTTTAAAATTTAAGATGTTCTTGATTATGACAAATGGAGATTCTTAATTCTGTGCAGAGCCCATGGCTTATTTTAAGAACATCTATCTACCAACTAGCAACAAACCCAAAGCAGATTTTTAACCTAGAAATAAGTAGAAATTTATCTCATTTCAGCTAAATTATATTCTATTATATCTGGAATCATCATACAGAATGCTAGAGGTATACAAAATAAGGCACAAAAAAAAAAGCAATAGAAAAAATGTTACTCACGGTAGGTAGCTGACTAGACAGGAGGTGCCCATCTTGATTCAACATATTAGACACCATGATAGCAGGAAGATCCATATTCTGGTAGGAATATGCTGGTATCAGGCTATTTGGAGGGAGACTGTGGCACAGTGAATGATATCCAGTTTCATGATCCACCAAGTGAAGAAGGGATGGATCTGGGAGATTAGGAGGAGTAATAGGAGGGATTTCATAATCTTCATTATTCTCATTCTGACCATTGTAAGTCTAAAATAAAAATATAACAAAAGGTAGTTTGACAATTTCTCACATTTTTTAAAAAAAACTTATGCTTGTTTCTGCAAAAGCTATTTAGTACTGGACAAAATCTACATAATTTTTTTCCATTAAATACCATCTCGAACAATGCAGAATTTCAGTTCCTTCAAAAAAATGATTGCATATTTGAGATACTTCTATAATAATGTAAGGGACTATATTATATGAGTGGATTAAAATGTGCTGTTGACTATTACTGGTCCTTAAAATATAAATTACTATATACAACAATGTACCTATTATAATTATTTAATACAATAATTATTTACTAAATAATAATACCATAATTTAAATCATTATACTCATCTTTCTGAGGAGTGAAATATATGACTGTTGATGGGGAATGTATGATTTTTAAGTAATAGTGTATTTTAAGGCTCCTTAGTTCTTTGATTCTGTCACCTAAAGCTGCTGAGGTCTATAAAACATTGGAGCAAAAATTCCAAACCCCTGTGGTAATCAATGAGTTGTGCCATACTTCAGTTGTTCAGAGAATGATAGGGTTTTGTTTTTTACCTGAATGTGGCATTTCTTGATGCCCTGAATGAGCAGAATACTTTTGAGCTATTTGCTGAAGAGAGATTTAATTCTGTGGGATTTAATTCAAGTTGGAGTGGTCTTATAGAATCTAAACTAGCTTCTTATGGTCTTTCAGATGAGTACCTCCTTACTGTGGATTACAATAAGGCCAGACATGTAGACAGAGGATAAAGGATATTGAGTAACAGGTGGAAGTGAGTAGGACAACAGCAGAACCTGGATTCACCAGGTATAATGGCAACTACCAGAAAAATGAAAAAATGGCGGGAAGGAAAGGATTACTAGAGCAACCTGCAGAGAGAAGAATTATACCAGATTTGCTTCAGAAAATGTTTGAGCAACTGGCCAGTAAGTTAGCTGAATCATTTGATACTAAATTGACAGCTTTTGGAAAAAGAATGGATGAAAGACTTGTAAAGATGAAAGAGGAGATGAAAGAAAAAGTTAAGAAGATGGAAAATTCTGTAAAACAAGTGTCTGGAAATGTAAAACAAATTAATGAAAAGTGGAAGTTCTGGAGAGTAAGACAGAGGTTATAGACAGAGAGTTGGAAAGAGAACTAGATAATTTGGCTCTATTGGAATTGAGAAAGAAGGAATTTTGAGATTTAAAGCATTCCCAGAGAATTCTGCTGAAGATATTACAGAAAAGATTATTAAAGTTTTAGCAATTTTTTTGGACTGGGATGAGGATTCAGAGGCAGAAATTGATAAACTATACAGAATAAATACAAGATTTGTGAGAATAAGAAATGTTCCAAGAGATAGTTTGGTGTACTTTGTCAGGAAGAAGACAAGGAATCAAGTTTTGCAGTAGCATTTTAATACAAGACTGAAAATTGATAATGCAGATGTAATTGTTCTTAAATAAATTTATTAGAATTTTGTGTAAGAAAAAAGACAGAGGTTAAAGCAGGAAAAGACCCCATGTTGATGGGGCAAATTGGAAGGTGTGATTTTTACTTTTAAACAGTAGAGGTTTTGATTGAATTCTGTCCAGAAGGCGAGGGAATTTCTGGAAAACTTCAAAGAAGAATTGGAGGAGATTCAAATGGAGGTGTCAGTGGAGGCTACACAAAAACTCCAACAGGTGCAACAGGAAACTGAAAGGGATGATACTGAACTAGGTGCTACATGTATTGATTTTTCTACATTTTTGGCTTGATTATGGATTATAAATGCTTAATGTGGAATACAAATGGAGCAAATGCTCCTCAAAAGGGAAACATAATATTTCATTATTTGAAAAAATTAAAACAAGATATAATCTGTCTACAAGAGACACCTATTAGAAAAAAGGACATAAAATATTTGATTTATAAAAATTGGGGTGAAGAATTTATTTCAGCAGGAAAAAAAAATGGAAATGTTTTGTATATAAATCCCCAAATAAAACCAGAATTTGTACTGATTGATAAGCATGGTTGATTTGTTGGAGTGGAAGTTCATTTGCATGGGACTAAGCCTTTGATACTGGGAATTTATGCCCCAAATGAGGACAAAGTATTATTTTACAATGGACTTATGGAGAGATTAATAGGTTTCTCTTATAAAAATTGGTGTTTGAAGGGGGATTGCAATGGAATGATCTCCCCACAACTGGATAGACTTTCTGAGAAAAATATTAAAAACATGCAAGGCAAATTTCCAAAAGTTTTCTTTGATA